CACCACTTCTTAGAGTTTGGAGCTTTACTGCTTGTCATGTGTTAGTTGTTTGCAATTTACAGGTTGTAAGTTGTAACAGGTCACGTGGTGACCTGGGGCCTTCGTTGTTTAATTTCAGAGTTCAGACTCGTTATTGGTATTCAGGAATTCTGGCTGTCTCAGCTGCCAAGAGAAAGACACAAGTGCCCCTACCCAGAGCACAGATGCAAGAGGTGCTAATTAGACTGTCATCTTACTTTTGTGATAAATCCTTTCAAGTATGCAGTGAGGGAAGAGTGAAATGCCTTTAGAAATGAAATAAAACACTCATGTTTTCTAATCTTGTTTAGGAAAGGAAAATGTACTTTTACTCGCTCAGTTCCAATACGTGACCGTTCTTCTGTACCTTCGTAAGAACAGCTTGCCCTAGGCCTTCTCTTACCAAGCATGTTTGCTTGTTACTTCCTTTTTTTCCCAACCTGAAAATGAAGGAAAGGAAAAGAAAGAATGCACACAGGAGAGGCCCGCAGACTGCTTCTCGTATGGAGGACAGAGACAACAGGAGGGAACAAGGTCTGTGTGTGAAAGTGTGATACGACCGGGTCTGAGTATGCTTGTTGACCTACAGTATCTTGTCCTTCTCTGTGGGTGAGAAGAGCATGAAGACATGGGGTGGGCTCTGAAGCACAGCCAGGTCTCTACTGTGCACGCTCCCAGGAGAAGGACCTGCCATCATCGGTTCCTCTGGCATCGCGCATGGTCTGTGGTGGGCAGAGGAGGGGAGAGAAGCTAATCTCTGGGTGGTACTAAAGGAAACATGGTCTATGAACACAATAACAGGGATGACAAGACAAACAGGAAGGGCACGTGCCAGGGATGTATGCAGAAATACATGCACTTCTGTAAGATGCTAAATCAAAGCTGGATGGCGCCGTGCTTTGGTGGTTGCCGTCATGTGGTATCATTTGGGGATCCAGAAGAAAAGTGTATTCATTATAGTCTTTGCTTATTTGATGCAAGTCTGGTCTTGAGAATGTAAATATCTAGCCTATTCTGAATTAACACTCCAAATTTGGACCTACTTACAATACAATGGTTCCTTGATATTCCAACACTACTAAAATTGCTCGGTTTTCCCAGCAAAATGGATGGGGGGAGGGGGAGGGGGTGGGAACTTGGATGTTAGCAGAATAGAGCACGTGCCGTGGATGAGCTTTGGCATCCGCATCTCAGTCTTGTCTCTTGGTCTCTGTCTTGCTACGTGCATTTCCAAGAGGATATGATACCCAAGGGAAAGGACAGTTACAATGAAATATATCTATCAAAATAGCAATTTCTCTGGATTGCCAGAGTAAAATGGCTTTGCCTCAAGGGAGTGAGCATTCACACGCATTAGGACAAATTATTGAGTTATAAATAAAGCCATGAAGAGAGATGCTCATGCAAAAAAGAAAGAAAAAACAGAACTCTGCCCTTGAATTTCATAAGGGTTTCTGTTGACCTGAGGGATTTCCACTGATGGTTTTCTAACAGTAGCCAAAGTCTGGTGGACAAGGAATCATTAATATCTTTTCTATATTCAGTATGTTTACTTCCTTCGTTGGGAAAAACAAGAATGCTGCCTTGCTTCAAGGGTGTAGATGAGCGTAGGAAGCTGACTTTCAAAACTATACCTACATGGAAGACTTTGTTAGTAGAAGAGGTTACACAAATGTTTACACATCTCTTAATAGACTGATTTTAATTACACCAGTCAATGAATATTGCAAACGTAATTAAGATTGGCTCCTGCCTTTAAGAGTACAACTACCACATAAAGAGTGGCAAGAATTAAGATTATAACCATTGAAAAAAGGGCCAACCATTTAATCTGAGGTCACTCACTGAGGATACTTTCAAGAAAGAGGTAGGATGTGATGGGCAAAGAGAGGACAGGTAAACCAGATGTCCAGACAGAGTGCCATACAGAGGAGCAAAGGTATGTGTGTCAACCCCTTGCCATGGAGTTGGGATTTATACCCAAGGCAATCCCGGGATATTTTTTTAATGTTCTCCTCTAGTTCTTGTCATTCTCTATGTGATGGGCAAAGAGAGGACAGGTAAACCAGATGTCCAGACAGAGTGCCATACAGAGGAGCGAAGGTATGTGTGTCAACCCCTTGCCATGGAGTTTGGATTTATACCCAAGGCAATCCCGGGATATTTTTTTAATGTTCTCCTCTAGTTCTTGTCATTCTCTAGGGTCATCTCAGGTCACTTCTTTCACTACTTCCACACCTTCCACTATTCCTTACCAATATCTCTGGGCATCTGTGTTTTTCTGAAGTTTTGTGGCCAACACCATGAGGCAGGCTTTGGAGCAGAGAGAAACCATGATATGCTTTACAGCCACGTTAGCTGAGACAGAATAGCCAACCGCTTCATAGTACCGTGAATATCACACAGTAGACTAGTAACAAAATTACCATTGTAATCTTTTGGTCACCATACTTAATATATTTTCAAGGTTTATATTATTTAAAGGAGGTCAGGAGGTTTCTATGTGTATCAAAAGGAGATGTGAAATATGACCCATTCACAATGTATCCACATGTCTAGTAGATATCTCCACCTGGGTGTCCTATAGACACTTCAAACTCAATGTGTTCAAAACAAAACAAATTTCTCTCCCCTTCCTCTTAAAGGGCTCCTCCTCCCAGAGGTTCCCACCCAAGCTAAACTGTCTGAAAGCTGGGACCTCAACAGCTCCCCTGACTGTCTCTTCCTAGCTCTCAAAATGCTGGACAGAGAAGATTATTGACTTTGGGATTAACCCTACCTGAATTCTAATTCCTGCTAGGATACTTATAAGCTTGATGACTTTTTAGAAGAACATGGAGTAAATAATGTTCAGAGAGGAGTAATTACAACATCAAAAGGCCTGGAAAAGATGCAAAAGATGGTAGTTAAGGTATTGAGTTCATCCTTGAAAAGCAGCTTTGAAGGGTGGCTGAAGTCAGGGAATTATGTGCATTAATACCAAATCTTACTGAATCTTATATAAGGTTGTATGAATTGCATGACTGTAGTGTGGTAGCTACAAAGCAATTTCAGGCAATTCACTGGAAGTGTAAAGGTTCATAATTCAAACTACATCCATGTTTCACATTAGTATTTCGACTGTGTAAACCAAACTCTTCAATGATGCATAGAATGAACAAACTACATGGGACCAGGAACGTTCTTTTTAATGACAATTTTTGCCATTTTATTGTTCACTGTGTATCCCCAGCACTTAGAACATTACCTGACATATAGTAATTATACAAATGTTTGGTGAATGAATGAATGAATGGATGAATAAATGAAATAATGAATAAAAGAAAGAATGAATTTGTCACATCTAATAATATTTCTCTGAAGAGAAGACTTAGATTTAAAGAAGAAAGCCAAGGTTTCTATTATATGTTTTTATGTAATCTGGTTTTATTCATATAGGATAATTTTATGATCAATTTACTATCAGGTGATGAGCCTATAAATGAAAAATCTTTTCATTTGTGGGCTGACATTTGGAATTTTGAATATCAGTCCATGCCATCTCCTCCAGAAAATCCTGAAGGGGAATGGGAAAGCAGCTAACTGCAGTGTCCGTTTCCCTGCTTATCTAACTAGATTTAGGATTGGACCAGTTAAAACAAGCAAATAACACCAGAGGTCTCTTTCGCATCCAACAGTTAAAGACTTAGGGAAATATGGAAAGGCTTGAGGACTCAGAGTTAAGTTCTCTTTAATCTGCACCTTTCTTAGTGTCTGTGGTTTTAATCAATCAACGGGTTTGAATGGCACTGATAACTGGGATAATTTGGAGTATATACAGCTAGGGAAAAAATAATTATTGTCCTGGTCCTAAATAAGAATAGCAAGTCTAGGAGAGAAAAGATTAAATCTCATGTGGTAATAGAATCTGGAATCTCCTTTTTGGGCTGCCACATTTCCAAAGGACTAGTTGGGAAAAGGGCTTTCCCTGCTTTTTATCACCGTCCAGGAGTTTCTTGGACCGCTATAGCCCGGGAATAAATTAGCCGTAGCAAACTGAGTCCTTAGTGAGGTTTTTCCTGAATCAACACAAACCTATTTCCTTGGTGTGTACACATTTAATTTACCAAATAACTACTTTTAAATATTTTTTTACATGTAATTGGTGTCATACAGTATACATACCTGTGCTTTAGACTAAGGTGATCTGCTCTAGAAAAAGCTGCTTCTATTGGAAGATTTACTTTAACTTCTCAAACAGAAGTCTGGCAAATGTGAAATAGTTCTTGGAGTTAAATTAGCTTATATGGATTATATAAATACTCTGCTGAACTATAGGAAGATTTCAGGATCTATTTGCCTTTCCTGGGCTTGAACTTTGTTTTTTCTTAGAGAAACATCTAAGTTTAATACAACTGATTATTTTTTTTTTTTTGTAATAGGGAAAGACAGGAAAAATTGATTAGGCAGTTAATAATCTTTGCAACTTTTATGAAATATTATCCCCTTGCCATTTCCTTAAGGTTACAGTGTTTTATTAGAGCCGCATAAAGTATTAAAGAAATGATGACTTTTTAAACTAATGCTATAAGCTGTAAAAAGCTCATCTACAAATATGTACAATGCCACCAGTTGTGAATGGGATAAAACTGGATGGGAAGCAAACTTTAGCCAAATGTAAGGAAATGTATTCTAATAAGTAAGTTTGTATGTCAGTGGACCTGGAGCAGCCGGTTCAAGTAGCTCTAGGATTCTCTAACTTTGCTCCAAGTGAGGTATAGATTTATCCAGGTCTTGCGCAAAGAAGAAGAGCAGGAACACGGATGGAGGTTGCTGTGATTTGTGTGGGAGACAGTAGCAAGATGGGTCCATCTGAAATGGAGATTTCATTTGGAAAAGCAGGAAGTGTTGAAGAGTTACATGAAGAAATAGGAGGTACAAATGATTCGGGATTAATGACATACTTGACTCTTAAACTTGTCTCTGACTTTCTTTCTGTACAGCCAGTGCTGATTTTCCATATAATCCAGGACAAGGCCAAGCTATAAGAAATGGAGTCAACAGAAATTCGGCTATCATTGGAGGTAGGTGATACATGGAACAGGCTTTTTTGTGGCTCCTCACCTGTGCAAAGTAATAACTTTCAATCAAATGGTAGTCTCGGGGAAAAAAAAGAATTGTCTAGATCTTTATGTTATTCATTTTGCTATTTAAATAGGACGTAATGTTGTGAAGGACAGTGTGGAGAAATTATGGTAAATGTAGCCTGGCTATTTTTAATGCTGACTTCTTTAAAAAAAATTGTAATGGTGAGCTAGACAGAGTGTGAATATGTGAGTAGGTAGTGGTGCCAATAGCCAGGACACTTCTTTATCCCCTTGTCTTTTTCACACTCATCCTCCAGCATCCCCAGCGGTCAAGGATAGCTTACTGCAAAAATAGGAAGGATTATACAGTCTGGTTCCAGTTATCTTACCAAAAATTATCAGACAAGTAATAAGCCAGAGATCCAAAATATCCCAGTCTTCTCTTCTCACCATGGGCAGCTGCAGAATAATTTGACTCTCCGAGTACAGTCCCACCTGTTTGGATCAATATCGATAGTCCTGCTGCCACGGCCGCCATCTCTTCCTGCACCTTCTGTCTTATTCCAAAGACATGTTTCCTGCCTCTTTGAGAATAGCTAATACTGTAAACATATCAAGGATTTTAAACTGGGACAACTAACAGGGCTTAGCCAGTAAGTTTCTTTTTCACAGGAAGAAAGTAGACACCTATAAGAAATATATAAAGCCATAAAATTAGAATACATTCAGAATGGAACTTAAATCACACTGTCTAAAGTTCTGGTGTAATCTTATCAAGGTCCTTATCCTCACTGTTTTTTGATTCTTAAAAATCAACTTAATTGAAGTATAATATGCACCTGTAAGTGTAGCATGTCAATGGCGTTTGACAAATGCATACACCCATAACCTCCACCACAACACCCAGAACGTTTCCATCACCCTAAAAAGCTTTCGTATCCTTTTGTAGCCCGCCCTTCCAAAGCAACTTCTGATTTACTTTTTGTTGCTACAGATTAGTTTTGCCTCTTTTAGAGTTTCATGTAACCAGAATCATACAGCATTTAGTCTGCTGTGCTTTGCTTCTTTGGTTCAGCATAACGTTTTTGAGATCTATCCACATTGCTGCATGTATCAATAGTTTATTTTTATTGCCAAGTTGTATTCCATCGAATGGATGTACTATAATTTTTTTTGTCCACTCACTGGTTGACAGATGTTTGGTTTGTTTCCAGATCTGGGCTGTTATGAATAAAGCTGCTATGAATGTTCTTGTACAAGTCTTGTATGAACATAAGTTTTCATTTCTTTTTGATAGTTCCTAGCAGTGCAGTTGCTGGATATTATAGAAAGTAAATATTTAATTTTATAATAAATTACCATACAGTTTTCCAAAATGTTTGAACTATTTTACAGTCCCACAATCAGTATCTGAAAGGTCAGGTTGATCCACAATCTCATCAACACTTGGCATTGTCAGTCTTAATTTTGGCTACTCTAATGGATGAGTAGAAGTATCTCTGTGGTTTTAATGTGCAGTTATCTGATGATTATTAATGTTGAGCATCTTTTCATGTGCTTATTGCCATAGTTTGCAAATCTTCTGTGAAGTGTCTGTTTATATCCTTTCCCATCTTTTAATTGGATTGTTTGACTTGTTGCTGTTGAATTGTGAGAGTTCTTTTTATATTCCGGATACATGTCCTTTGTCAGACATAAGTATTGTGGGTATTCTCTCCCAGCCTGTGGCTTGCCTTTTCATTTTCTTTGTGGTGTCTTTTGAAAAGCAGAAGATTTTGATTTTGATGAAGCCCAACATTTTCAAAACGTTTTATAGTTTGTGGTTTGTATGTCCTGTATAAAAAAATCTGCCTACTTCAAGACTGCGAAGATTTTCTCCTATGTTTTCTTCTAGAAGTTTTATAGCTTTAACTTTTGCTAGTAGGTCTGTAATTGCTTTGTTCATATTTATATATGGTATGAGATGAGGTTCAAGGTCATTATTTTCCAAATGAATATCTAGTTATTCCAAGACCATTTGTTGAAAAAACTGTACTTTTCCTCAATTGAATTTCTTTGGCATTGTTGTCAAAAACCAATGGGCCATATATGTACATGTCTACTTTCTGGGCTCTCTGTTCTGTTTTGTTGATCTATATATCTTTCCTTAGCCAATACTGTGCTTTCTGTATTGTTGTGTCTTTATAATAAGTCTTGAAGTAAGTAGCCTAAGTTCTCCAATACTGTCATTTTTGTCACTTTGGATTTTGTGTTTTACATGGGAGACTGTAGCATTTGAGGGAATTATGGTAAAATGGGAGCAGGGGGGTTGGAGGGTTATATAAGCTTTGTTTAACCTGTGGCACTTGTCCATCTCCACCAGGAGTCATTGCTGTGGTGATCTTCACCATCCTCTGCACCTTGGTCTTCCTGATCCGGTACATGTTTCGTCACAAGGGCACCTACCACACCAATGAAGCCAAGGGAGCAGAGTCAGCAGAGAGCGCAGATGCTGCCATTATGAACAACGACCCCAATTTCACAGAGACCATTGACGAAAGCAAAAAGGAATGGCTCATTTGAGGGGTGGCTTCTTGGCTATGGGGTAGGGAGGAGGCAATTACTAGGGAGGAGGGAAAGGGATCGTAGAACCCTGCTTCATACTCTTGAGCACATCCTTAAAATATCAGCACAAGTCAGGGGAGGCAAGCAACAGAGTATTCTTCAGACTGATCACCACAAAAAAGTACTTTTGAATATTTCTTTATAGCTGAGTTTCCCCTTCTGTATCAAGACAAAATAATACAAAAAATGCTTTTAGAGTTTAAGCAATGGTTGAAATCTGTAGGTAATATCTGTCTTATTTTGTGTGTGTTTAGAGGTGATCTAAAAACCCGTGGCAACAGGGCAAGTTTTCTACATTTTTAAGAGCCCTTAGAATATGGATATTTTTTCTTGGGAAATGTGATGACCTACATATGGCCTCCAACATTCTCTTCCTTTGCTTATAGTCAACTTTTAATGGGCTGTTGTAGTAAATAGTTCGTGTTCATATAATATTTGTTTTGATGTCCTATAAGTTGGAAAAGGAAAGATAAGGGCAAAGAAAACCTATTATTTACCAGTTTTCAAAGAGACCTCAATCTGTGCCAGTTCTCTGAGGGTTCCTGCCGGACACCAGCAGTTGAAGGGGACAGGGGTGGGCACTTGCTGTCTACAAGTAACCAACACGGCTGAAGAGAAGCGTTAAAGAACCAGGGAGAGTAATTTACACTGGGGTTGTTGGTTTTATTTTTCATTTAATTATACAAGATAATATTGTTTCATGTATGTAGTCTCAGACCTCTTCTGTCTCTGTAACTATCAGCTGTTACAAAAGATTTTCCCTCTGTTTTACCTGCAACATATTGGATTACATTATAAGTGTGTAAACACCTCAATGGGAAATTAGAGCCAGATTGTGTGGTTTGTTTGCTCTGTTTCTTTCATAGTTGTAGCAAAAGTATGGACACATTCTAACAAATGCATGTTAGGTTGTTCATTATTATTTTGCTTTAAATCTCCAGTTTTTATAGCCCGCAACCAAGTCGTGGCAGATAGTGTCCTCTAAATGGGCACAACACAATAAATCCAAGTTATTATTGCTGTTACTCTGGAATCATGTGGAAAAGACCACCATATTTTAAATCAACCACTCCATTTGTTGTTCCATGCAAAGGAGACACACTGCCATGATTCAGGGATCTTCTATGACAGATGCATTTGAACCTCAAGTTCATCACAAACCTGGTAACTGACTGTTGCTTCTCAGAGAATGTCTAGTCAATCACATGTCTTAGTTTAATCAGGTACCTTGACCAACTCATTCCAACAAATAACTCATTGATTTTATTTAAAAAATAATAAACTTTGTGTAAACAAATGGGGACAGTGCTCACTATTGGAGCATCCAAAAATAATTTAACTAACTTACTTTTTAAAAAAATTTCACAAAAGTTATTTCTAGAATGATTATCATTTATTGTCATTTGATTATCATTTACTGACATTATTTTTCAGGCTTCTTATACTTAAAGCACTTTTTAAAAAAAATTTTAGACTCCAACATTTTGAGGAACTAAATATGATCTCTCTTTTTCCTTCTGGAAGTAAGACAAAGTTGAAAAGACATGGATACTATTTTTCTGATGGCCTGACTCAATAAAATGGAAATTCTAGTTTGTGAGGATTATATATACATACTTTTCTAGATTCTTGGCACGCCTAACTGAGGATCTCAGTTTCTTGGATAACAGAAAATGTTATCCAGAGCTGCCCCTGGCACATGGTACCAGCACATGACACATTTCAAAGGAGACTTCGAACCTGTTAATTCCCATTCAAGTCAAGGTAACAGAAAAAAAGGGAATCCTGATGCTGTTTTACGTTGCTGGTTGACCACAGGCACTATCATGAACACCCTTGATTTAAAAAGGTCTTGATCATTCTATAAAATACACTTAAAATGAAAAAGTATTCAGTGTGACTAAATATCAGAACAATGTACCACTTTCACAGGACATATTGAAAGCAAAGGCTGTTTTATTTAACCAAGATGACTACCATTCAGGGTTCTTTTCTTATTGTCGAATTGGAAAAGCAAATTTTAAACATTATGGTTTAGAAGTGTTTCCGGTTTTTTAAAGCCTATTTTATAGGTATAACTTTTGCACTTAATGCCAGATGGAGATCTATTATTTCTTACGTTTCCCATGATATCTCTATTCTTTACACATCATTTCAGCACTTTTCCCTTTTTCCAAAAAAAGGGGATTAAAACCATCAAAAAGAGCCCCTGAAACTAAAATGTTTTCACCTTTTCTCTTCCCTTTCTTCTTTCCCCCTTCCTGCCACAAAAGGTGAAAAATAAGATTCAACCCTTCTCTCAACAAATTTTCAAACCTAGGGCGTTGGAATGACTGCAGGGATCAGTGGTTTTCCCATATCATTGTCAATTAAGATAACAGAGAGCAGCATGACAGTCTCTTCTCAAGGGGTTACAATGTGGCCAGCAAAAAGGACACAAAAAGGCAAATAAAGTATTAAGTAACTAAATTAAGTGCCAAATGAGTGCTAGAAATTTTGGCCTCTCTTTGGGATTATGGGTTTAACAAAAATTCCTCCGTGTATGAAGGCATTAGCCAATATGTTCTAAATGGTAAATAATTTATGTGGAAAAAAGGGAAGTAACTTTGTTTTCCAACTCTCTCCCCTGATAGCCATGATATTATGACCCAAGCTCAATGCCTAATCTTGCTTTGTCATTCATATCCCACAAAGTCTGGACATCTTATATTCCAGTACATCATCAATCAAGCACAAATAGGCTAGTGGTTGTCTCTTTAAACAATACAAATAGACAAAAAAAAAAGTTGGGGGTGCTGTTTTAAAGTTTCAGGGAAACTTGATGGCTCATTTAGGGTTGTTTGAAAAGGGATCATCCTGTATAAAGCAAACAACTACGTTAGGAGAAGCTAGGAGCAGGGGACTTTGAATGAATGCAAAATTAGTGCCATCCTAAGTTCTCAAAATAGCATATTCCCTAAAGCTCAAGGAAGCTAGCTCAGGAAGTAGAAGAAGTTATTTTATTGTTAAGTTATTCTCTGGCCCTTCTGAATATTTGAGACTATATTTCCCCTGTGGCTTTCAACCAACTGCTCTGAAAAAGAGACTTGTTATGTGGAAGTTTTTGTTGAAGAGCCAGGAACAAGAGTTTCGAGTGCCTTTGTTAGAAAATTTCCTGTTGCCCTGTATTGACAAACAACCATCCTTACCTAACAGGAGCAGGAATTCAGAGGCATGGAAAAGTACTGGCATGAGCCAAAGACTAGATCTTAATGTCACTGCGGAACATCTGTTGAGCAGCCACCAGACACAGGCTGAGCGCTGGGCACAAAGACAAGATTTCATAGAAAGCATTGCAGGAAAAAGCAAACAGCTGCCAGATATGAAAACGCAAGTGTTCAGGTAGTGTGGAGAACGTTTATTTCCTCCTTTGCTAAAATGCATTCTTTCCTATCCTCCTTACTCTTTTTCTTCCTGTCCTCTCCACGCACATCCTTCTCCTGTCGTATGAACGTGTTAAGGGTCCCTTTATGTCTCACGCCACCAAACAATTAACACCTGATTTGAACTTCTTGCTATTTTTTTCCTTTTCACCATCCAGTCCAGCAGTTTTCAAAAAGATAGCCAGCCAAAATGGTCCTAAATTGCTAGTCCCATAGAACCAACCGATTCTAAAACAGGTGAGAAAAAATCAATTAACAACATGCCCAACCGAGCTGGGCTAGAAACCAATGGGCACGTTTTTTAAATGGTGTGTTGGTGAGAGTGGACCCTGAGAGTCACCTGACAGTCCTAGCCCTTTCTCTCTCCCAGACTTGCTATGGGACCTCAGTCAAGTCCCTGAACTTCTGCCCATCTTTGCCTCATCTTTAAGATGGAACTGTTTTGCCTACTTCCTAAGACAATAGGGAGGTGCCATTGGTTCTTGACTGCAAAATACTTTGAAACCCAAATACAAAGACCAAAGTCAATGGAGCCTAGCAAAACACTTATTCTCTGGCTTGTGATTGAAAGTCACATCAAAATAAACAATGTGGCCACATCCAGGACTGTGAAGATTTACGGGGCCACTGTTCAACTACTAAATTATTAATCAGGTAGACTGCCAGGGAACTAACCTCTCAACACTGGGACATGGGCCCAAAAAGTCAGAATGTTTTGTAGATAAAACCCTGAACTCCCACCTATATGTGATTAGCTCACCTTTCCTACTCTTACACGTGCCCTCCAATGTTACTAGACTGGCTTATGCATAAGCCAACACAACATGCAAATGTGGCATTTTCATGTAGCCTGGTGGCTCTGCGCCTATGCTGCATTTACCCTGCACTGTAGTGTTGGGAGCTTTAATGTGCATTTCTTTGTAGGCAGTGTTTTTTTCATAGGCATGGTATACAACTTCTTGTCAATTAAATGGGGGAAATCACATTAAAAAGCTGGTTTGTTACCATCCAAAGAGCAAAGACTGGCAAAAGGTAATAATGATACATGAGTATATGGGCACATGTGTATTAATATACAACACTTTTGCAAGTTTATTTCCCAGATGAAAATGTGCTGTGAGAACAAGTCTACTAAGATAGTCTGCATCATTTCCAAGTCTCAGTATATTTATAGTAACTGCTGGTTTCTGAGATGGCTGTGAAAATGTGGAGGTTCCTCACAAGCAAGCCAAGAAACAGCTCTAGATGTTACTGATACTAAGTTTTGTTGGGTTTTTTAATTGTTAAGTGAGCATGGTGACTGCAGAGGTAAGAGTTGTGAAAAGCTGGGCTAAATATTCTCTCTGTAAAGTCAATTAGGTTTCCATCCCTGTGAAATAACAAAATTTCACTCTCTAGGACCAACAGCATGTAAACTAGAATGAAAGAAGGAAATTATGTATGTATGCCTAATATTCTTTGTGAATGTCTTTCATTTAACTAAAATTATATTAGAAGCCAGATTGATAAATAAAAAATCCAAAATAGTTTTAATTATCCTTAAAGAGATTCTTTGTGTTTTGTACCACTTGATTCTCTTAGAAGTAATTTTCAACCTTCAGCAAAAGAGAGTTCCAAGCACTGAAGTATACATCTATTAGAAATATAATTTTTCCAAGAGCTGTGGAGGTATAATCTCTCCTCAAAGACAGGCCTTACTCGGATACATCCATTGTAAACCTTCTTCTCCCATGTATACTTCCCTTACCCCACTTTTCTTAAAGTACCTTAATGGACATTGACTTCATGTTTTGGATTAATCTACACACAGCTTGATAAAATATGGTTAGAGCTAAGTGATCTAACCACAGATATATATTCTGACCCTTATTTGTAATAAGGGCATAACACTGGGTAATGGGCAAATAGATCCAGGCCAGTGAACTAGATAACAGGGACATAGAATGCATCTGGATGTGAGACTCTTTCTAAATGCACAGCATGTGCATTAAGAGCGAAGTTATTACTCCCACTTTCTGGTCTTCTATTACCATTGGGAAGCCATTTCCTTCTAATCAATTCTCTGTGAGGCATTTAAATGTATACCAAATAAGTGTGAATTCCAGTTAAAAGCCCAGCTTCTCTGTTCTTCAGCAATCCCCCAGGACAACCAACAGCAGTAGCACTCCAGAATATTTAGAAAGCATCATGCCATAGGTTATTTGTCATGATTCTGCTTTGCAAATGTGATCCAAAAGGTGCAGAGAGAATATTATCACATCTCTTGAGAAAAGAAAATCAGCACTAGAAAGCGTCATAACAAACCAGTTTTAAGAGGATGAGCCAGCAAGATGTTGGCTTAACATCTCCAACAAGAGCTTTTGAGCCACAACATGCTGACTTCCTTTCCCAGTCCCACAACCACCAAGCCCTGTACACACAGAGATCAGTAATTTTCAGGACGATGACTGTATTTTGTCCAAGGTAATATTAGCTCAATGAATTGGGGCAGGGGTGGGGCAGGCAGAGAAGGATAGGAGAGGAAGTTATGGGAAAGAGGTACGTTGAAGGAAATATATCTGACTTTACTCTTTATCAGTTATGACATGGCATTAGACTTAACAGCACAGAAAAGAGGAAACTAGTATTTTTTTTTTTTTTTTTTTTTTTTTTTTTTTTTTTTCCTT